AAGCGTGTCCAGTAATCTAAAAAAAAAGTTATTTGAAATTTTGACGAATTGTATGATAAGTGTTTTAAGGTTGTATTAATTTTGAAATTTTATTGTTGACATTTTTGTATAAATTTGTGTGACTTTAATGGAGTATTTTCGTAAAAAAAATGCACATATTTGTTGTATGAAATTTGTATTAAAATAGTATGAAAGTGTTTGGAATGTACTATTTGAATGATATTTGTATGAAATGTTTTTTTGATTGAATATAAAAATTGTTTTGTAATGTTATGTCTGTGTGAATGATATTTGTATTTCGAATTGTTTGTTTATAATGTGAGACTAATTTATATTTTTTTAATGAAACAGGGAATTATGTCGATTTTCAAAGGAGGGGGTTTGCTGATGTGAAATTCAAAAGGTCAAAAGTTACCTGTAGTAGATGTCGTCAAGTTGGACATAACAGGAAAACATATTCAAATTATCCTATGCAAAAGTAATGAATGTTCATTTGTTAAGACTATATATAATTTATTTATTTTTATTGGTTATATTAATGTTTTGGTTTGATATAAAACATAATAATTTTGTGTTTAGCGTACTAGTTATTATTTATACACTGTTCATTCAGTTATCATACATAATGCATATTGTTATAAATTTAGTGCTTGATATTGTGTTTCAATTTATACACGATTCATTCATTAAGTCCACAAAATCCATACATTTGTTACTAAAAATTGTTCCAGATTATCATTTCATCTTCTACAGTTCTGCTACAAGGACATATTAGTTGTCATGATTATTGGTAAGTACTATTTGGACACAAAATTAAGCCAAAGTCGATCCAAATAGGCTCTAAAACTTCTTTCTTTTGCCCCTCCATAAATAGCAAGCTTGCAATTTAAGTCTCCACTTTCATGGTTAAAGTGAAGACTTTTTTATTTGAGTTAAGCATTTGACAGATTTTACTAAATGAATTTTAGAAACTAATCTCTTCTTATAATAAGTGTATCTAACCAAAGACAAGGTAACTGTCAACAAGTAGAAGCGGGGTTGTGGAAATTTGAATACGGAGAAGAAAAACTTCTTAGAACAATATATAAGGGCTCTTCTAGGCTACAACAATTATATTTATAGAAAGAAAAATTCATAGATTGTCCCCTACTTTTCATAATATGTGATATTTTAGGAAGTCATTTCAATTGTTATAGTAGGAATGTTAATCTTCGTGATGAAATTTAATAAACTACAACTGAAAGTTCTCAAGAGAAGTGAGTACAATTAAAAACTTTCTTTTTCATTGTTTTGGCCACTTACATTTACTATTGATGTTGGATAGCTTTTATTATTTACAATTTGTAGTATCAAGTTCAGAGCACCTTACTTGAAGTAGGATTATAGTGTTGAGTTTGGAGTACCTTTTTTATTGTAATTTGAATTTTTTTATCTTTTCAAGTACACAGAAAAAGTGTATATTGACAATGACACCTCCTTTTGTGTGATGTTTTCTTAAAATTGATAAAGTATTGTGTATTATAATCGCAAAACTAAAACCCATATTGTTCAACTGCCACAATTGTTTCATTTGGCCAAGTTTGAGATGTACTGATTTTATAACAACAAATTTGTGATCTACATACTGCAAGTCCAACAAACTGTTGGAGTTGAACTGTGATGTTAAATTAAAGATGTGTATAATGTATTAAAACACTATCTGAATCTTGAGGTATTAAACATGTTTAGGTAGAATGTTGAATTTAGAGAGTTACCTATGTAGAAAGAGTCATTATCTTTTAAATAAAGATTTTAGCTAAAACTCCTCCAAACTTTGTGTAGAAGCTTTAGTAGTGGTAATTCACGTGTGATTAGTCACCAAGACGGATTGTTGGAGTAAAATCTGGCTCATAGTTTATAGTTACTACTTGAATACGTAAGTTAGTGTCTCAGTTGTGTAAGCTATTTTGTAGGTCCAGAGTTGTATATGCTGTGTGAGAACTCTTAAGTTTCTGCGATATGCAAATCTTATTTGTCTTATTTTGTATAGAGTACATTTGTTGAAAGAATTTGTGCAAATGATGTAGATAGGACATCTTTTGATACTTTCTATTTTAGCTTGATATATTTATTTTATATATCTTTGTGTTGTAAAAAATTGTATTGTTGCACATGTGAGAGCTAATAAGGATATCTTCATTCTGCTTTCTTTAATTATACTGAAAGCAGTTATAGAAAGCTGAGTTTGGGATATATGTAAATAAAATAAAGCAGAGTATTTTTTATTTTAAAAAAAGTTATATATGGGTTGATATTTTAAGAGTTGCATATCAGGCATTTGAATATCGACCTTTTTGTGGAGCTGGTGATAAGAGTAAGGAGCTTGAGTTTTAGTTTTTAGTTTTTGCTTCTCTAGGTCTGCACTTCATTTCTTGCGTGCCAATTCAAATGTTTTCTTTTTCTTGTTGAAAGTTATCTTACAGCTATGATGTGGTTATATTCTTTTCCAATAATAACTAATGGCTTATCTTCCTTTTTCATATTTTTTTTTGGGTGATTGCCCTGTTTGTCTGCTTTAGGTGTCAATTCTTGCCTTTGTTCTGCTGCTCCTCCGGTGAGTTGCAACTTTAATTTTTTTACCTCTTTTCTTGATCTATTCAGTACTTTTGCATATGAGTGTCACCATAACAATATATATAAATCATCTATTTACTTCATGTTATGGCTTTTGTATATTGTTATGATTTTTTTAATTAGTATTTACACATGTACACACCAGGTGTTTGAAGAATGTGACTGCTTTTTAGCGTTGTTAATAGTTGTATGATAATTGCTTACAGATGCAAAAGTGGGATTCTCAAAAAGGAGATAGATAGTATGATCTATATCCTTTGTGATGCAATGAGCTGCCACCTTTCACTGCGCCGATCCTAGCAAAGTTAGCAGATTCAGTCTTCATATATCTATTATACGACATGAGGATTTATTGGTGAGTTCCAATCGTTCTTTTTCTTGGTGTATTTATCTAATTTCAGTTTGTACGAAGCTTTAGGACAGAAAAAGATAGTAGAGTATTTTTTCCTATATTGCAGCCTGCAGTTTTTAAGACTCTTAAATTTCTTAATAGGTAGAACTAAGTGCAGAAAAGAGAACATTTATTGTTATAATTTGTATTTGTGGCATGATGTGATATATCCAATTGTCTTACTTTGTCTAAAACTATCCTCTTCTCCTAGCAATTTCGCAATCCCAAAATCACTTAAATGGACAACCGTGTTTTCATCTAGCAAAATGTTGCTAGGCTTCAAATCACAATGCACTACTGGCTGTGAATAATCGTTATGGAGATAGTCTAAAGGCTACATCGATCATTATGTCCAACTTTTGCAACATGTCTGAATATGCATAAGTCATAAGAGTGTAACCATTTGTTAGGGCTGTCATTTGGCAAGTACTCCAAAATAAGGCCTTGAAAATATCTCATAGAGATTCTATAAATGCTCAAATTAGTTAGACATAGTCATAGAAATCAAGCTCATGCGACACTGACATTAGTGAAGAATGTCCGGACTCCATTTTATGGGACTAAATTGGGTATATTGTTGTTGTATGTATAGTCATAGTACTTAAGTAGAACGAGCTACATTAGACTTGAAACAACCTAAGTATCTAATAATTTTAGTTTCATACTTCATTTGTTGTGCCAAGAATTAGTGTCCAGGAAAGCTACTGCTTCGTCACTTTAAGAGGTGAACCGTTGCGAAGTGGTATAACAATGTTGCAAAGTTTTGAAGCGAAGCACCTTAGAGAAGCAAGTGCTTCAATGGCGAAGTGAGGTTAAGTGTGAAGTAATATGAAGCATCTCTCCTTTATAATATATATCATAAACATTTTAAAAGGTTTATTTTAAGAAGTTCAACATCAAAATTTTACATTTCAGACGGCAAGGGTTTCACGTCCTCTCTGATGATTGAATTTCAGGTAAGCATCTTTTCTAGCTTTTTCTCCTTTCTTCTTCTACTTATCCATCGTCCTTAGGTGTTTCTTTTCTTTCATCATCTACTTTCTTCATCCTAATTTCAAATGTAATAGGTGATTTTGATCAAAGACAATCCAGAAGAAATTGATTGCAACACTAGATGCATCTGTTAGTGTCTGATTTATAAATATAGTATATATAAATGTAGTTAGTACTCTCACATATGCAAATAGTATGACATTCACAAAACATGTAGAGAAACACATTTAGCAGCTATACTATGTTCGATATAATGGTATTTATATGTAATTTAATCATTTATATTAATCGATTTTAGATTAAGAATAAGACTACACATTGGGCCCGTGCACGAATTTTCGCTTATTTTACAAAAGTCATTCCAAGTACATGCATTACTTCTATTGATCCACCATGTTCACCCACTAACTTCTCAAAGTTGCAAAGATATTTTTAGATTATGACATTTCCCTTAAAATGTTCATTAGGAATCTGTAAAGCTTGCTTAATGTTGAATAATAGAAGATATGGCTTTTTCTATCTTGTCTTGATATAGAAGTTTACTGTAAGCAGTGATGTGACAATATTGACAAATTTCCATGTGAATGAACAAATAAAGAAGATCTCATTTAGAAGTATGCGTCGGAATGCTTTCCGGTATCCTTGACATAGACAAACAAATCATGTTGTTCTCATTACCTTTATTCAATTGTGTCTCTTCATCAGTTTTGCAGGTTAGAGTATCTTCTTCTTCATTTTCAGCCACTACACCAAAACAGAGTGTCTATAACATTTCACGTTTTTTTATTTACATGACGCTTGATATTAGATATATTACTGAAATGCTTCATAAATTGCAGATATGCATATTTCATATCTGGTGTCTTCCAGTCTTAAGTTGTCCAATAATCATTTGTTTATGTAGGAGTACAATGTACAATTATTAAATATACGTACTTTCTAAGGACACGCTATTTTCCCATGATAGAACAAAGTATATTTTGTTGCAGTGCAGTTGTAACTTATAACCATCTAATCATGTGATTGCTTCAGAAGTTTTGACTGATAGACTATGGTGCTTAGACTCTCTTAAAATGTTGTCGGGTTCGGATCCTTTAAAAGTAGTGTATTTTTGTAGGTATAACTTTTGAAGTACTACTGATAAATTTAATCAGGCTAATAGTTTTGTTGTTTCAGGTTTGGATGATGGATGATAGACATAAGTGATAAATCTATTCATTTTTCTAGGGGCAAAATGTAGATAAACACATTGTTTGTGCACCTTTTTTTTGTGTGAATTTCAAAGTTAATTTTCACTTAGATGTATACAAATGATGGTGATGGGGCTACTGGTTCTTACCTATGAAGTATGCTCATGAAGCTATGGCTGCAATAAATTTTATGGGAAGGGTTGGGCACGTGTAATTTTGAAGATTGTTGCCTTATGTTAAAAAGAATGCCTACGCTTTTATGTTGTCTCTGTGATTTTAGACATTTATTATACAAACAAGGAACTAAGGGGTCGTTTGGTACAAATATTGATAATGTAGGGATTAGTAACGCAAGGATTAGTAATGCAGGGATTAGTAGTGCATGAATTTTTTTTGTCAAGTGTTTGGTTCACTACTTTTTACTTAATTCTGTGTTTGATTTAAAACTCTACAAAAAATTTCTTTCCTATTAATACCCTTGTGTTATTATGAGTGTTTATTTCATGTAATTGGATCAAGGTAGATGACCGTCGAATCAGACAATTTTTTTAGTAGGAATTTCTATTCCATTTAAATAGTTAAATCAAATATATATATATATATATAATTGTTATTAATTTTAAGGTGTGATGTATCACTAAGAAGATCATTGATGGCACGGTGTATTTCTACTTTTTTGTTGGTCAAGTATATCTTAAACTTAACATAGATTTAAGACTGCTTAAATTGTTCAATATCAAAAGCTTATTTAAAAAAAAAAAAACAAATAGTTCAAGTGGGTAATCGACAAACTATCTTGAATAAAAAAAATTCAAGAAAAAAATGGAGAAAAAAAATATTAGTGAACTCACTAAAATTACACTAAACGGATTTGGAGAATTAAAAAAAGAACATTTATAACCATTTTAAGATAAATAAAAGGAATTAAATTACAAAAGAAATTTTAGAAAAAGAAATAAGGGGTTAGTTTAGTCATTTAGGGGTCTTATCCAAGGTTTAACAAACCTTGGATTAGTTATCCCTCCATTTTCTAGGGATAAGATAAGACCACATATGGTGGATAAGCAATCCATGGATTAAATTAAATGAAGTAACCAAACAATGTATTAGATGGACTAAATTTTAATTCATGAATTATTCTATTTAATATCGCTTACCAAAAGACCTTGGCATAATAACACTCGCCGGCAAAGACCTCGGCATAATAACACTCACCGGCAAAGACCTCAGCATTATAACACTCACCGAAAAAGACCTCGGCATAATAACACTCCACATGTCTCATCACGGTGTTCAACATCAAAGCACACAACCAATATCACACCATATAGAAAAGACAATATTTTGCACAATTCAAGTCCACACTCATGCTTTCAAGCATTCCATCAATCAATTATCAAGGGTCATAATAAGGGATTTCACATTATCATGTTCAACACATAGCTTTTTTCATTTCAACCCGTTTTTATTCATTTTGATATAACAAGTGGACAATTTAAACCCTTCACCTCATTCCCATTACTCCCAACACACAATCAATAAAAGAAGCATACAAATTCAAACTAGAATACAAGTTCACTTGCCTTAAATCAATCAACAATCACTTCAATAGTCACGTCTTCCCCTTATGAATCACTTCCAAAGCAACATAATCTATACAAAGCAAGTACTTAGAGTCACTCTCTGAAAACAACAGCACCCACAACAATTCCCTTGAAAGGTGGGTCAAAAAACACGATACCCAATTCCAAAAATTAAGGTTTGAATCCAAAAAACAATACTTGAAAACATTGCTCAAAGCTTTAGGAATTTATTAGGGAAAATCATTTCGAAATAGGACTTGAAATCAACTCACAAGCTCCATGTTAGCTAAGAACTTGGGTTCTTGAATAACCTCATCATTTACCAATCAAAACCTCATATTTTGATGTTAAAACTTACAATTAATCAAAGGAAAATGAAGGTTTATGATCAAGAACACTTACCCAACTGATCTAGCACATAAAATCCTTTCAAAATCTGCCACCAAGGATTTCCAAGTACAAAAATGGTGATATGGGGCTTAAACCCCGAAAATGACAGCAAAACCCCTCTCTGATGTCGCAAAAGCAAACAAGCAAACCCCTCTAAAATCGTGGGTCTCGCTTAAGCGAAGACTCCTTTGATTTTGCGAACCTTGCTTAAGAGAAGAGACTGCTAGCCTCGCTTAAGCGGCCAGCCTTAACAAAAGCAAGGCCTGCAGACACCAACAAAATACAAGCAACTCTCAAAACATCAAAAGGACTTTTGGAATTCGTTCGGAACCCCGTACATACAAAACACATATGCAAATCAATTATACTCGACTTTTCAGATTCAATGGAACCATCAAAACATGAATCTGAGGTCTTCTTGACCCAAAATCTATGAAAACTACTAGAAACCAACTCACGCCTTAAAAGGATAAAACAAACTTGGGACCCAAGGCTAAATTTTCACAATTTCACAATTTAAGACCTCAAATCCTCAAAAAGATTCAGAATCAAAAACTGATGACTCTCATGGATCAGATCTTATGTTTCGGGACTGATGGAATAGACAGAATCCCATTCCGACACTCGAACCTCCAAAAGACACTGAAAATCACTTTCTTAACAACTTAGCCTTTCAAACTCTAAACTTACCAAATTCTCAACTTTTAACCCAAAGTTTAAAACCAAAATTTTAAAATCAATCAAAAACGACGCGGGGTTGACATCGAGAGTAAAAACGGTAATCTTCACAAAAAAAAACAAACAATGTCTGATCGAATAGTTACACAATAGTTGAATTCACGTAACTCTAGTAGATGCTCCATGGTCTTATTGTGATATGTGACCTAAAGATATACTCCCTCCGTTTCACAAAGAATGACCTCCTTTCCTTTTTAGTCTGTTTAAAAAAGAATGACCTCTTTCCTTTTTTTGTAACATTTTACTTTTTGCTTTCCACGTGGCATGTTTAAGACCACAAGATTAAGGGCAATTTTGTACATTTGACATAACTTTAATTTAGGACCACAAGATTCAAAAGTCTTCTTTATTTACTTAAACTCCGTGTTAAGTCAAACCAGGTAATTCTTTGTGAAACGGAGGGAGTATTATTTAAGTGATCTTTTTGTTTCATTAATCAATATACGATTTTAGTTGGGTCATTATTTTGTTTTAATGATTACTAATTAGTTTTGGAGTTGCACATGTTTTATCTTTGTGCTTGAATAATTTGGTGAGTGTATAGATATTTAGTACGCCCGACAGGTGGTGTTAGCGGGTATCAATCACGTTTAAGGGGTAGTTTGGAATGTGACAAAGTTGGTATCAGAGCATATGCTTTAAGCCATGGGTCGTGGAGAAGTGTTTGGTAGAGTCTGGTTCATGGTATATAGGCGGCCCTAATTATTACCTTGAGGCTACTGAACATTTATGATGTTTTCCCTTTTTTCATTCTTTGTTTGTGCGTTGAGTTAAATCAAGTCTAACCCTTGAATATTATTTCGCAGATGTCTAAGAAACGTGGTTTTTCATCTACTATTCGATCTAATGCATCTGTTGAACGTGGTGCAGGACTTGGTACTACCCCAAGTGGTGTCATGGTAGGTCTCATCGAACTAGGTAGGGGTGTATGAAATTGAACCGCAAACCGAACCAAACCGCGAACCGAGTCAAACCGAAAAATAAACTCGACTAGTGGTTTGGTTTGGCTTGGTTTGGTATTGAAAAAAAAGACCCGACTATATTTGGGTTGGTTTGGTTTTAACTAAAAAAAACCAACCCGAGACCAAACCAACCCGACATTATATATGTAATTTTAAAATTTTATTTTATACATAAAAATGTTTATTAATATATAATTTATATATTTTTCTTAATCTTTCTCACAATTTTATGTTTAATATTAGTGGACTTTGGGCTACATTGTTGACTTGAGCCCACTTGTTATTTTTAGGAATAAACAAAAGCCCAAATAAATTATACAATTCAACTATCCCTATATAATATTCTCTATCTCATTTAACAAAGGTCATTAGGTCAGCAACTCTTCACCTTCAAAGGCTTAGTCACTGTTAGGTTTTACTCCTTAGCTATTAGGGCATATATTGAGCTCGTCTTTTGAATTTTAGTTCAAATCATCATCAACTCATCTTAATCTAGGTAAGCAATTGCTACTAACTCGTTTTTAGATATTTTTCTTGTATTGCAATTTTCAACAATATCTCAATTTTGGGTAGTTGAATCATAGATATAAACCTAAAAATTATACATCTTGGTGTCCATATCTATGGTGTGTTAAGCTTAGCAACAAGATGATGATAAATTTTTTGTATATAAGTTTCACTTATTTCTCTCTTTACTTATGTTGTTTTAATGCAATGAAAAATGGGCAAGTGTTCGACTCATTGCTTTTGGTTCCATTTGTATGGAGGTTTTTGTTCTGTAAACATCGTGATGGTCCACAGAGATAAGGAAAAACAAGTGATAGAGATAAAAATTTAAAAGACTATTAGATTTTGATAGCAGTAGCCAGTAATATACATCAAACTTTTCTGACCAAATATTTTGTACTATATTTGTATCTATTTTGGTTTCAAAGTGAAATATACTTCTAAGTCTTGTGCACAATACTTGAATGGAAGTCTTGTTGAAACACAATCTTGTATCAGAATACTAATAACTATTGTTATGTATGTGCAGCAACTTTCTATTTGGATGGAAACTACACCTTCTGTAACGGATGTAGATGTGATTAATAATATTCCTTCAACTATGTCGACAATTATATCTCAACAACAAGGCAAAGTAACTCCACGTCGACGCATACCTCCTAAG